TATGGGATGCTGATGCCTCAAGCCAGGGTGTTAACCTGCTGTGCCACATCACTGGCCCCTGGTTCATGGTGTTGTACCAGTGTTAATGTCTTAGTGTTGGTGAGGGTACTGTAGTGACATGTGGTAAAGGGTACATGCAGTCTCAGAGCTCCCACAAGTCTAGCAGCCCTTCAAAATTGAAAAAACATGAAATCCGTCTGTCTGTCCATTTGTCCATGTGGACTGAAATGGGAAGCTGTGGCCAGCATCACTTAGCTGGCATCATCAGGTGGTGAAGTGGCCCACGTAAGTGAACCTTCCACACGCAAACACTAAGATGTTTTCTGATTTTAGTTTTCTCATGGAATGCTTTCACAGCATAGTAAGAGTCTTGTTGTACAGTCTGCTGAATGCAGTTGAATCTCCACTTGACTCTGATCAGCGTCACCAGCCTCGGCTGTCAAGCCCAATGGGCGTGTATGGCTGACAAATCAAATGAGAGGCTCAGGGTTTGACTCTGCTCTCTGTGGCTTTGAGATGTTGTGTCTGAGTATTTGCAGGGTTGTGTGTGCTTGTTGTTTTGCCTCTGATATTTGCAGGCTGTGGTTTCCTATTCTTACAGCTACTGGCATGCCTTTCTATGAAAATCATTGCTTCTATTTTCCTCTAATCTGCCTCTGTGTTTCTCTAATATCATGTTAGCAGAAATCGTCTGTGTTGAAGTGCTCGTGTCTGCGCCTCATCCGTGTGGGCAAGCAGCCGTCCCCTAGTTCCAGCGATGCAGGGTTGGCCCAGTGGCTTCTGCCCCACACGACAGGCAGCCCCTGTTCACATGGAGATGCCACACGCACAGTCCCCTCTGCTGTCTTTAGCTGTGTGACTCTGCCTCAGTGGCCTCATATGTAAAGTAGAGCTGGCCGTGGTACTGGCTGCAGGGGTGCATGTGAGGGCTGAATGAATGCACACACAGTCAGTGCTTGGAGGGTTACTGTGTGGCCACGCCACTGTTACCCCTGTCTGCCGCAGTCGTTGTGACTGTGTTTGGGAAGAAGGATATATCTTCCAGTAGCACAGCATCCGGCTCACCGCTCCTACGCAGCAGACGAAACAGGCCAAGGCAGGACTCCTCCAAGGCCGTTTCCTTCTGGTTTCTCAGAAAGGAGATTCCCCTGCTCCTTCTCTTGACAGTTCTGAGAAGGGACCGCTGCTGGCTTAGAAATGGTTTTTCTCAGGCTGACAAATAGCCCTGGAGAAGAGTATTTTATAGTGCTATGCCATGTATGTTTGAATGTAGGGTGTGTATACCGAACTGTGTTACAAGCAAATGCAGATGTGTCCAAGCATGCTAGAGAAAGGGTTGTAACCTGGGGGGGGGGGGGTGGGAGGAGTGAAGATAAGGTGGGAAAATGCAGAGCGCACTCTCCAAGGAATCAGGTTACCCAGGCAACAGCCCAGCAAACCCCTGGGGTCCCGTAGCATCTTCCCTTGGTGCCAGTGGTGTCGCTTAAAAGAACCAGGAGTCACAGCCGCTTGGGTCACTTTAGGGGAAGAGGCACAGGAAATCCAAGTGCCTGAATCATAATCATTGCTGGGTCTTCCTTGTACCAAGAAAGGAGGCCAGAGCCATAGCCCCATGGCTCTTGGGGCCAGGAGGCCTGAGCCTGAGCCTCTCTGTTAACAAGCCTTTGCCACCTCAGAGTGACCACTTCTGCCTCAGATGTTGTCACGAGGGTCGACTGAGCTCACCACACAGGACCACAGATGCCGTGTAGGCTGGGGACTGACTGCTGTTGTTGGTTTGTCCTTAGCACACGGATGGTTCTAAACCATCGCTGCTGCCGTCCTCATGACAGTGACTTTATCTACAGTGCCTGCCAGAGCCGCTCCCTGTGAGTGGGCTGCAGATTGTCCCTGGCACAGTAAATGTGCTTCCCGGGGAGGGCTTCTCCACAGCGGTGCCGGGGGAGGGATGGAAGGGTTGCAGTGGGTTGGAGAACATTTCGTGGAGGTAGCAGTGCATGGCCAAAACCAGGTTGCAAGTGCTGTTCATCCAGATTAAAATTAAGTTGGAAAACAGTTGGTGGAAAAGTGGTGTGCAATGGGGCGAGAGAAACAAGCCTCCCTGGCCTGGCATATCAGGGCCTCAAGCACAGGTCAGAAGGGAATGTTGAGACACAACAGAGTTTCCTGAGATGTCTGGGCTTCATTTGTTTCAAATTAAAAAAAAAAAAAAAAAAAAAAAAAAAAAAAGGAAAGTAGCCAAGGAAGAAAGAGAATCACAAAACACCACTTTTAAAGTGCAGTGCAGGGGCCGGTGCAGTGATTTAGTGAGTTAAGCCTGCGGTGCCGGCATCCCATATGGGTACCAGTTCAAGTCCCAACTGCTCCATTTCTGATCCAGCTCCTTGCCAATAGCCTGGGAAAGCAGTGGAAGATGGACCAAGTCCTTGGGTCCCTGCACCCACATGGGAGACCTGGAAGAAGCTCCTGGCTTCAAATTGGCCAGCTCTGACCGTTGAGTCCATTTGAGGAGTGAACCAATGGCTGGAAGAGTCTCTCCCTCTCTCTGTCTGTTACTCTGCCTCTTAAATAAATAAATAAAATGCAGTGAAATGCTGGGCTGCTGGATCCAGCTTCCTGTCTGGGGCAGCCCCGCTCAGCAAGGCTTAGGGTCTGCAGCTGGTTCTCCCTCTGTCCTGGACAAAGCTGAGAGGAGGAAACAGGCTCAGAGGGAACACATGGCTGTTATGTCCAGCGTGTGACAGTTAGCCACTGCCCTACACTGTTTCTGCAGTCTGAATGATCAGAAGTGGCCAGAGGTCAGAGAAACTGCTGGCGCACGGCTGCTCCTTTGCTGTCTTTCCTAGGTTGGGAAGAATCTCTGGGCCCTGCAGGTGTGACGCGGTTCATGTCTCAAACCACAGTGCCAACCTGTCCCACACAGCAGCTTGCGTTCCTCCGTCCCCTGCTCCCTGGAGGAGCAAGCAGCTGCCACTTCCAGCAGCAAAGTGACTTCGCCCGCCCCGCTGGCAAGCTCCCACGGGGGTCCTGCTGGGCCTGTCCCTGGGGCACACTTACTTCACTTCTCCACCAGGGCATCCCAGGGTTCCCCCCGCCCCCACCCCCGTGCTTGGTATTGGATTTTTTTTCTTCATTTGAAAAGATCAGTAGCCCCACTGGTGAAATCGTTGGCCGTTTAACTCAGTCAATGCCAACAGGTGTTTTAAGACGATTTCATTGTATATTATTGGCAAGCAGAATGTTTTGCCCCGTTAACAATGTCAGCTTTTAAAGAGCACCGTTTGTCTGGTTGCTCCATATTTCAAATGAATATGACTATTCAAACTCCGTAGGCGCCTTACATCAGATTCCCAGCCTGCACAACTCTTTGGATCTTTGCTCTTTGACCTAATACAACCCAGGCCTACCGTCTAACTTGGGATGTGGTCTGGGTCAGATCCCTGCCCCTAGCTCACACATGGTACTTATTTTAAGTTTCTGAAACAATACCTCACCTCCTATACTTTATCCTGTGGTTTAATCATTCTTATGGCCTGGAAATTGTTTTTTGAGTCCTAAAATAATCTCTCCTGCTGCAGTTTTGTCTTCTCCACTGGAAACTGTTAGTTGCTGTCTCAAAGGCAATTCTTAGGTTACTGGATCACAATAATAATAATGATATAATAATAACAAAGTTATTAAAGATATACAGTGTCCCAGGAACTGCCTGAGTTGCATAATATTTCCTTTAATCTTTAAATATTTCCTTTAATCTTTAAAGTATGTCTACAAAAAAAAAAAAAAACATTTTCACTCTTAATTTACAGAGGAGGGAGCTGAAGAACAGAGGTTGGAATGGGGTCCCCACACCAGCAGGTGAACCTGGCAGATGGGAGTTGAAAGCCTGTTCTTTCTCCACCACCCATCAGAACCGAGTTCTGCCTTCCGTTTTCTAGGCCAGCTGATTCCTCCAAGCTGTCAAAGGTCACTAAACACGTATGCAGCCCACGTGTGAGAGCAGCTCCCCACGGAAGAGAGCTCGGGCACCCTGGCTTAGTGCTCTGGAACAGGGTAGGGGTCGGTTGTTTATTCAGTAACAGCCTTATTGAGCTCTAATTCCCCTGCCAATCATCAGATCCAGCCTTTTAAGGAATACAATTCAGTGGTTTCTGGTAGATTTGCAAGGTTGTGCAACCCTCACTGCAGTCAATTTCAGAGTACCCCCATTACCCCAAAAGAAACCTGTCTTAGTCCCTTCGGGCTGCTGTCACAAAAATATCATGGAGGGGGCGCTTATAAACATCAGAAACGTGCTCCTCACCACTTGGCAGGCGATGGGAACCCATTGCCTGCTTCATGGCTGCTGCCTTCACCTGGGAGGAAGGGACGAGGGAACGCTCTGGGGCTTCCGGGCACTGATCCTTTGGCGAGGGCTCTATCCTCATGGCCTGAACACCTCCCATATCGTCACCCATCACTCTGGGGATTGGGATTTCAGCATGGATTTTTGCTGTTGTTGTTGTTGTTGGGGGTAGTTGGGGGTAGGGGAACACAGACATTCAGACCCAAGCAAAGCCCATAGCATCTCCACGGATTTGCCTTTTCCAGACATGTCTGTCACATGGACGGGATCACACATGCCGTGACCTTTTGTGTGTGGCTTTTTTCACTCACACAGCGTTCTCAGGGTTCATGCATGTTGTAGCATGTGTCACTGCTTCGTTGATATTTGTGGCTGGGTGATATCCCATGTGTGGAGACCCCAGTCTTTTCCTCCTCTCATCAGCTAGTGAGCATTTGAGTTCCCATGTTTTGGCTGTTGTGGGTAGGGGTGCTGTGTGCAGCCTTGTACGGGCCTCTGTGGGTTTCCGTTTGTTCGTCCTGACGTCCTGCCTCCCCAGGTTTGGTAAAACTCCCATTCTACATGACAGAATTACAACGGCAGCAGCGCACTTGCTGGAGTGTCCTGTCTGTTGCCCTGCTCCCTGGGTGTGCTCCCATGGCCTTTGCTTTTCTTGTAGACCTGCCCTTCATGTGGAATCACCTTTGCTCCCAAAGCTGAAGCCGGCGCAGAAGGCGGCACTGTCCAGAATGGCTGCCAAGATGAGCCTCAGGGCGGCACCAAGGTAACAAGCTCATGGCTGTTGTTCCTGTCACTTCCTCTCCTGGCGCATCCACCCAAGGTGACATTCCTCTCTTGTCAACTTCTTAGTTCTGAGAATAAGTCCTGTTAGGTAACATGGTACCTTCTAGTCGCTGGGTGGTGCACAGAACGACAAAGCACAGGACAGAGCAGGGTACAGTGAGGACCCGCTGCTGGGTGGGACTCCCTACGTGGGAGGGAGAATCTTAACACCTGTGCATGAGGGTGGTTAAGGAATGATTTTCGTGCTAAAAGCTGGACTCAGCGTATGGTAGAAAACAGGCATGCCATGAGGAGAGGCACCTCTTCCAGGTGAAAAACAGGAGAGAGGCCAGAAGGCGGGCGAGCAGCCGGCAGGCTGCTGGAGAATGGGCCTTTGAGAGCGAGCCAGCCAGAGGGGAAAGCAGGACGGGAGCCCTTCTCACAAAGGCTGCCTTCCCCAGGGAGGCCCGTATCTCTGTCCTCCTCCACCCTGCATGTGTGTGCAGGTCAATCCGGGTCTCTCATGACCCCAGTTGATATCCACCTGTCTCCCTCTACCTTCTCCTAAGCCACAACCCAACAACTCTAGGTTTGTTTTCCTCGCACGTCCCCTGAGCCCTTCCAACCCATCCAGCAGCCCCTGCGACCCTGGTTTTGGGATAAGCAAATTCCCAGAACCTCAGCTCTCCACTCTCTCTCACCTCCTGCTGGCTCTTCCCACGCCCTCACCTTCCTGGCTGCCCAGAGAGGATGTAGGTTGGCAGAGAGATTGAGCATTCAGATGAGAGAAGACTTGCAGGTGTGGGCCCCTAGCACAGGTCAGAGCATCCGGCACGCAGTGTAGGGAGCTCCAGCATGGGGACAGCTCGTGTTCCCTGCCGCCACTTCACTCCCCGTGTTTGCTTCCTCCTTGTCTCGAGGCAGGCTTCTGGAGGACCCAGCTCCAAAGCTCAGAATGGACTCCTGAGCCCTCCCCAGCAGGAGAAGCTGACCAACAGTCAGACCTCCTTGTGTGAGATCCTGCAGGAGAAAGGAAGGTGGGCGGGGGTGAGCTTGGACCAGTCGGCTCTGCTTCCGCTGAGATTCAAGAACATCCGCGAGAAGACCGATGCCCATTTTGTGGACGTTATCAAAGAAGACAGGTACGACTGGGGCTGTCGGTAGAGGCGGCAAGGGTCTGCAGGTGGAAGGCTCTCCTTAGCCGCCTTCCTCAGTATGTTACTTTATTTTGTTTTGCTTTCATGTGAAACTTACAGAAGAGTGGAACAAATGGTAGGTGGAATTCCTTTGATGCCCTGTGCCCAGTTGACCAACTTCCCACCGCTGAATATGCCTGTTTCCTCCCTCTCCTCCCCTCTGTGACATTTATCTCTTATTTTTTCTGAACCGTTTGACAGTAAGCTGCATGCCTCACGTTGTTTGCCCTTTTATTCTTGTATTTCCTAGAAACAGGAATGTTGTGTTGTGTGATCATACAAGTGTACTTTAAAAAGTCCATGGAAGAATGGAGCTAAAATATAAGTTTATTTCAATGCAGAAATATTTGAAATCCAGTACATAGCTGTTGGTTTTTTGCATAGTAGGCATTTTTGTGAGCTTTCTGCAGCTGTCAAATTCAGGAAATCTTACACGGATCTGATAGCCGGCCTGACCTGCAGTCCCTGTTCTGGTCTTGTCAGTTGTCCTGGAGAGCACATTTTCACTCTAGATCAGGATCACAGGCTCCATTGCTGCGTCATCGTGCGTCTTCAATCTGGGATGGTTCCTCGGATGTGCTTTGTCGTCATGACGCTGACTTTAAAAGGAAACGCAGGCCCAGTCCTTCCACCGAACATTCCTGAAGTTGGATTTGTGTGACACTTCCACACGAGTCCACTGAGGTCCTGCACCCCTGGCCCAACGCCACGTGAGTGGCCCTGGGTCCTTCTGGGGGTCTTGCCTCGGTGATTCCTCACTGGTGACGCTCATCCGGATGCTGCAGGCAAGGTGCAGCCGGTCGCCCCCGTCCAACGTTATTACTTTGTCCTTATGGCTGGTAGCGGCTTGTGGGAAGGCGCTGTAAACATCCCGTTCCTTGTCAGATTTCCTAAGTTTTCATATCCATCGATGATCCTTGCCTAAAGCAGTCGTCACTTTGATGCTTCAAAATGGTGATTTTTCATCTCCTGCACATTCATTGTTTGGTTCTTGGCATCCAACTATAAGAAGAACTCTACCACAGTTGGTGTTGTGGCATAGCAGGTTAAGTCACCACTTTTGATGTCGGCATCCCATACAGGAGCCAGTTCATGTACCAGCTGCTTCACTTCCAACCCAGTTTCCTGCTAATGGCCTGGGAAAAGCAGCAGAAGATGGCCCAAGTAGTTGGGCCCCTGCCACCCACATGGAGACCCAGATGAAGCTCCTGGCTCCTGGCTTTGGCCTGGCCCAGCCCTAGATGTTGCGGCCATCTGGGGAGAGAACCAGTGAATGGAAGATCTTGCTCTCTCCCTTTGTCTCTCCCTCTCTCTCTGTAACTCTGACTTTCAAATAAATCTTAAAAGAAGATGAAGAAGATCCCTCCCCATGACTGCTTTACCCATTCATCCTTTTGCAGCCTGAACTCAGGCACTCCCATCTCATCTCATGGGCTAGCAGGCATCACCGTTCTTACCGCGTTTGGCTGTTCCCATGGTCCCAAGTCTGGCTAATGGAAGCCCCCTTTAGGCTGGCTCTTGCAACCTTATTTTATTTTATTTTATTTTATTTTATTTTATTTTATTTTATTTTTTGACAGGCAGAGTTAGACAGTGAGAGAGAGAGACAGCGAGAAGGGTCTTCCTTTCGTTGGTTCACCCCCAAAATGGCCGCTACGGCTGGCGCTGTGCCAATCGATCTGAAGCCAGGAGCCAGGTACTTCTCCTGGTCTCCCATGCGGGTGCAGGGCCCAAGTACCTGGGCCATCCTCCACTGCACTCCCGGGCCACAGCAGAGAGCTGGACTGGAAGAGGAGCAACCAGGACAGAACCGGCGCCCCAACCAGGACTAGAACCTGGAGTGCCAGCGCCGCAGGCAGAGGATTAGCCTAGTGAGCCACGGCACTGGCCTCCTGCAACCTCTTGACACAGCCCTGTCACTTGTTTGAGGGCAATCCCAGGCTAATTTTTTTTTCCTTCCCTGCTTGGGCTCAAAGAGCCCTGACTGCTTGTACTGAGTGATGCGATGTAGACATACCAGCTGCTAACGTCCATTGTAACGCTGGTGTAGTCCAAGAACGTACTCTGTGGGATTTCCATCATTGTACGTAAACTGGGGCTTGTCTCATGACCTGTGTGCAGCCTGTTTTGGCGAGCATACAGAAGAAAAGGTGAATTCTGCATTTGTAAGATGTGAGGTGTCAGTTGTCGGGAGTATTGCTCAGAACATCTATCTCTGCTACTTTTACCTATTTTTCTATCAGTTGTTGAGAGATGAGTATTGAAATCTCTAGCTCCATATGATTGTGGAAGGGTCCATGTTTCTCTTTAGTCGTGACAATTTTTGTTTCAAGCATTTTCAGACTTTTTAAAGGTGTACACACATTGATGGGTGTTGCATATTCCTGATGAATTGATTCTTTTTTCATGCCAACGTGTCCCTTTTTGTCCTTGGTAGTTCTCTTTGTCTGAAAACCTGTTTTATCTGCTATTGGGCCTTCTTATGCTTGCCGTTTGCATACAGTATCATTTTTACCTTTTTTTTTTTTACTTTCACCTATTCATGTGTTTCTGTTTGAAATGTGTCTCTTATTGGTCCTGATTTTTTTTTTATCCATTCTGACATTTACCTTTTAGTTCCATTTTAATAGATTTTGATATTTTAGCAATACTTCTTGGCATTATTTTTCTTTTAGAGATTGCTCTAGGAGTTACAATTATACCTCCATAATTGTTCTAGTCACTTTAGGGTTAATATTATATCACTTCCTTTTAAATGAGGGAATATTGCTACCATATAGGTGCATTACCCTCTTATCTTTCCTTTTGCTGTAGTGGTCAAACCTGCTGCATCCACGTCCATTTTAAACCCAACCTGTAGGTAATCTTGCATTGGTCTCTGTTGATCGCTTTTCTGTGGAGTGTGATCATGTGTCCTGTATCTTGATATGCCTAGTAATTTTTGGATTGTGTTGTAGACATTGTTTATGATGCTTAAAAGCTCTGGATTTTGTTTTATTCCCCCTGAAGGGTGTCATTTTTGTTTGTTTGGTTGGCAGTGAACTCCCCGGAGTCTGAACTCCAGAGTCTGTCCCCTTGAGGTGGGCAGCAGCTGTCCTTGTAGCCTCCCCGGGTCCTTGGAGGCTACCTTGATGTGCACCCACATCAGAACAGCAGCCAGAGGTCTGAGCAGTGCTTATTTGCAGAACATGGGGCTCCCTTTCTCTGGTTCTTTACCCCTTGGGCTGTACAATCTCATTCTCTATCTGTTGTCACCACAAATTCTATTTTTGGTCTTTTTAAGCAATAAGACCGTGGCTTTTCAATCTAGCCCCCCTCCACGTTGTATAGACTGATCTTCAAGCACATACCACACACAATGGTGAAAAAGGGGAAATTCAACTGGCATTATTCCCGTCTTCCACATGTGCCTCCCTGTCGCTCCCCCTCCTCGTGGAGGAACGACACAGGACCCTGCGCTGTTCTTTCGTCTGCTCGGCCCTCCCCGGGTTTGCTGCTGGTTCTTCCCGGGTTGGCTACCGACCCTTCCACCTCCGTGGAAGGGCGGTTCCCCCTAGCCACTTTCCCCACTTCCGCGGGGGAGCGGCACACCGCCGGCCGGCTCTCTCGGGGGCTGCACAGGTGTTCCTTCAGATAGATGTTCCTGGTGCATGTTGTCTCTCTCCTCCTTTATAGTCCTCTTCCACCAATCCCAACTCTGCTACCCACACGCTGAGTACGCTGCTCTCCTCCAATCAGGAGCAGGTCCTACAGTTTATTGGTTGAACTGGAGGCAGCTGAGTAGAAGCTGTTTCTCCCTTCTCAGCGCCATATTGTGGGAGAGCAGATGCATAGAATAAGTCTTAATTCCAGTAACTTAGTCTAGTCTGAGTTGCTCCCCACACCTCCCCTCTGTGTTCTGCCTGCTCTGGCCTCTGTCCAGGGTCCATGTGTTTGTTTACATGCCTTGTCGAGAGGTTATAGTCACCTGGAAGAGGGTCAGTCTCAGAGGAACTGTCTTCCAGTCCCAGAGGTGGACCCAGAGGACAGCTCACGGCAGGGTTCATTCTGCACTTGAGTGCTAGCGTGTGGCCGTTGCACATCCTCCTTACGGCAGCTCTGCTGTTCATCCCTTCGTACTACCCGAGTGGCAGAGAGGCAACAGGGCTGACATCAGGAGATAGAGTTTTCTCTTTTCTGCATCTGGGAATGCAGCACGTTACTGCACGTCTGTCACCAAAAACAAGAGCGTGCCCTGCACAGCCCAGCAAGGAAGGAATGTGTGCAGGGTGAGCCTTCCTGTGTGCCAGGCACAGGCAAGGCACTTGACACAGCCTGTCTGGTTTCATTCTTTTTTTTTTTTTTTAAGATTTTTATTTATTTATTTGAGAGGTAGAGTTACAGAGGGAGAAACAGAGAGAGGTCTTGCATCCATTGGATGACTCCCAAATGGCTGCAGTGGATGGAGCTGAGCTGATCTGAAGCCAGAAGCCAGGAGCCTCCTTTGGATCTCCCACGCAGGTGCAGGGGGGCCATCTTCTACTGCCACAGCAGAGAGCTGGACCAGAAAAGGAGCATCTGGGACTAGAACCGGCACCCATAAGGATGCTGGCACTGTAGACTGAGGCTTAGCGCACTATGCCACAGCGCCGGCCCCTGGTTTCATTCTAATAGCTGCTGTATGAGAGACAGACAGCACCTCACGGCTGTGTTTGCCTTCGGAAATCATGTCAACACTTTCCCCTTGAATTTATGATAATTTTCTGCAGTACAAAAAGGATATTATTATTTGCTGGCAATTTATCAAAGAACGAAAGAGTCCCATAAAGCTGGCTTGGTTTCTGCGCTACTGAAATCCTAGGCCTCATCATTTCTCAGGTCTCACACACAATCTGCATGTGTGACAATAGCACTGAAATTACACCAGCTATAAACACAATTTTGCGATAACAACCTGTTCACTTTTACAGTGGTAATTACTGTCAGCCCTCTGAATGACAGGACAGCAGTTCTGAATTGCATTTCCATCTGAAGCCTCCCAATCAGTATAAGCACTCTCAGCGCAGGCATCCACAGCTTCTTCACTTCTCAGAACAACAACAAAAAGCTGCCTTCCTCCTCTTCTAATCCTGGATGTCAGGAATATGTTTTCAAATCCAGGGTTCTACTGATTGTGTTTAATTGTGGGGAATGGTCGTTCCTGAATGGGAGTGAAGCATACAATGTGGTTACATGTAGGGACATGAGGGACTTCCCAGACATAGGTCTTTTTTTTTTTTTTAAGATTTATTTATCTTTACTTGAAAGTCAGAGTTACACAGAGAGGAGAGGCAGAGAGAGAGAGAGAGAGAGAGAGAGAGAGAGAGATCTTTCATCCGATGGTTCACTCCCCAGATGGCTGCAATGGCCGGAGCTGCACTGATCTGAAGCCAGGAGCCAGGAGCTTCTTCCAGGTCTACCACGTGAGTGCAGGGGCCCAAGGACTTGGGCCATCTTCTACTGCTGTCCCAGGCCATAGCAGAGAGCTGGATGGGAAGTGGAGCAGCTGGGACTCGAACCAGCGCCCATATGGGATGCCAGCGCTTGAGGCCAGGGTGTTAACCCATTGCTCCACAGCGCCGGTCCCACAGACATAGGGTTTTAAAGGGACTGTTGCAGGGCCGGCGCTGTGGTGCAGTGGGTTAAAGCCCCAGCATGCAGTGGGTTAAAGCTCCGGCCTGTAGTACCCGCAACCCATATAGGCGCCGGTTCAAGTCCCAGCTGCTCCACTTCCGATCCAGCTCTCTGCTACGGCCTGGAAAAGCAGTAGAGGATGGCCCAAGTCCTTGGGTCCCTGCACCTGCATGGGAGACCCAGAAGAAGCTCCTGGCTCTTGGCTTCGGATCAGTGCAGCTCCTGCTGTTAGCACCAATTGCGGAATGAACCAGTGAATGAAAGACCTCTCTTTCTCTCTTTGCCTCTCCTTTTCTCTCTCTGTGTAACTCTGACTTGCAAATAAATAAATAAAGCTTAAATAAATAAAATAAAAGGGACAGTTGCTCAGTCTCTGTTACATAGTGACTTTTGTGATGTGTCTAATGAATGGTGTTTTGGTAGCTGATTGTCATCTCCTGACAAAAGTGAGTCCAGTGATGGCTGAATGTTGATGGCTTGTGTTTATTGTGTCTTCTAGCCTGATGAAGGATTATTTTTTTAAGCCACCCATCAATCAGTTCAGCCTGAACTTCCTGGACCCGGAGCTGGAGCGATCCTACAGAACCAGCTATCAGGAGGAGGTAGGAGTCCCCTGTAACTCCACCCAAGGAAGCCTGTTCTCACTGGATGGCTCATTGTTAGTTTTGTGCTTCAGCAAGTGAAAGAGACATGAAGGTGAATGTTGATTTCCCTCTGTCTGTAATGAATTTATCTTCACAAAGAAGGAGGGGAAAAAAACAGTCGTCCTGTGGTCCTTTGTTTCAAGGCCCAGCCAGACCCTTCCTCTGGCTGGTGCCTACCAGCCCTGTCGCCCTCCTCAGCCCCGGAAGGCCCAGCCACATCTCTCCTAGCTTCTCAAGAGAGACTCCTCCACTGCCGCCTTGTCTGCTCTCTGCCCCCGCAACGGGCCCGGGAGCTCGGGAGGCCTGACCTCTCTCCCAGAGACTCGGGCTCTCCATTCTTCTGCCCTTGCTCTGCCACCGCCTTAGCCCCTGTCGTCCTTCAACTCTGCTCAGACATCAAAGTTTCCTCCAAGAAACTTACCCTAACCCCAGACCAGACTTTCTTTCCCATTATTCTCTTCCTTCTGCACACATACCCGACTCTGCAGCCTTTGCACGAGTGATTTTTGAGCCATGTGCCTGTCTCCCCAGGCTCTCTGCTCTCCCATTCTCCATCACAGTCTCTACCCCTGGCCTAGGCTATCCAGAGACTGTAGTGGGCCTGACGGCCTTGTTGGAACACTGAATGTCAGTTAACCTCCCAGGCACAGTTCCCACAGTGGAATTGCCAGTTGGTTGGTTGGTGTGCTGTACAGCAAAACATTATCTCACTTAAGCTTCCCAAAACCCTTTAAGGGCGCTTATGATTGTCTCTGTTTTACCAAGGAGAATGTTAAGGCTAAGGAAAGCCAAGTACATGGTCCACCCTCCAGGGCTGACACCAGTGTATCTGGCTGCAAGGCCAGGCGTCTCAGCCTCGCTTTGTGCTGTGTGCACTGCAGAAGCCTCCCAACTGGAAGTTAGTCCCCTACTCCCCCAATCACCAAGTGTCCACCGAGCTTCTGCTCTGCCAGCTCTGGCCCCTGGTGCAGGGTTTGGAGAGGAAAGTCACACTCTAACAGGGTGGTCGTCGTAAGACAGAAATGATAGCCCAGAGCCGCAGATGGAGCACGCAGCGAGGCGTCACCCCAGACGGAGGGCTTAAAGTAACTTCTCACCTAGGTGGGAGGAGGAGTGGGAGGAGGAAGTGACCCAGTAAGAAGGGACCAACACACACCTTGGAGATCTGAGAAGCTGTTGCATCCAGGGAGTGGCAGGAGCCTCTGTGGGGTGGAGTAGGATGGCAGTGTAGGGGTGGGCAGGGCTCAAAAAGGGGGGGGGTCCCACGGGCCCCACCCCTGGGCATTAGGCTGCAGTCCAGAGAGAGCCACTGAGGGATCCGGAACAGGAGATGGCTCCATCGGATTGTGTCTGGCACAGAGTGGACAAGTCCGATAGGAAGCTGTTGCAGAGGCAAGGCTGGGTGGAGAGGAAGGAGGGAGGCGGCAAGGAAGGGAGGGTCCAGGCTGCCCCACATTCTGGTGCTCACCGTCCTCCGTGCTCCATGAAGGTGACTTCCTGTGGAAGCATCGCTCCACCCAAGTGTTGCAGGTTTTATCCCTGTGTCCAGGAAACTAAGGCATGGGGAGGGTGAATGACATCACAGCAAGTAGTAGTGGAGCCTAGTCAGGCCTGGGCAGCCTCCCGCAGGGCAGAGCTCCGAGGACTGGGTCACCCCAGGCACCGAGCCTGACCAGATTTGGGCAAGTAAGAGGGCAGCGCTGGCCCGAGTGACCTCATGGGTGGCATCGTCCCAGGTCTGAAACCTAGGGCAGAGAGGGCTGCTGGGTGAGTAGTGTCCACTGTTGGACGTGGACATGTGGGCAGTACTGCCTAGAAGTGCCGGTGTGGGGAGGAGCTGCCCCAGTCTCCTCATTGGGCCAGCGAGGGAGCCCAGAGAGGAGAGAACAGGGCCAAGGCAGAAGTAGCAGTGCAGGAGAAGCACAGCAAGTTGGGGAGAAGATGGAGGAGGTGGAAGGGGCACACAGGGGACCCCAGGCCAGCATCAAGTCCAAGGAGGGGGCTGTGCTGTGGAGGAGAGCATAGCACCACCCTGCTCCGGGTGGGGAGACCCAGAGCCCATGGATCTGGAAAGTGGGAGTTCAAGGCTCTTGGAAAGCACAGAGGTGCAGGTGGAGGCATTTGGATTCTAGGGTCAGCAGGCATTGGGGTCTCCAGGGCTGCCACAGAGGCAGCAGGGTGGTCTCAACTCTGACTTGGACCCCTGCTTGGGGCAGGGGGAGGCATCTCAATACTCCGGGCCTCAACTCCCAGCAGTGAATGGTTACACTTGGACCCCCGCCCTGCTCCCACCCCCCAGGTGTTCAGTGACTCTCAGCAGGATCTGGGCCTCTGTTCAGTGACACTGGATATTATACTAGGTACTGGGTCTCCTGCCTGAGCTCCTGGCAGTGCTGGAGTCCTCTTTGGTCATATGCATCAAACCCAAGATTTCAGTGTTTGCTTGCATCAGCAGTGTCTGGGTGATAGTTGTCACAACACCAGAAGTAACACGTGTGGGTCTCACCCCACTCAGGCCAGAAACTAGGGGAGTCAGGTGGAAATGAATTTCCCCCACATGGCAACAGTCCACAGGAGCATCCCAGTGGGCCCCTGGGCCCCCTCTGCTGGACAAAGGCAGGTGGCAGCAGGCCCTAGCTGTCCCCCCAAGGTGCTAGATGGAGCTCCAGAGAGCTGCGTGTGCCTGTGCAGAGCTGGGTCAGTGTGGGTGAAAGCCTGACCCTCCTGGCATGCATGCATACCTGCAGAACTCCCACGTTTCTTGGCAGCAAACTGGAACCCAACTCTGCCCCCAGGTTGCTCTGCCAGGGTCCAGGCTGACTGGTGGCCTCAGCCCAAGCCGCCCAAGCTCACTCAGCTCCCAGGACCTGGGCTCTGGCTGAGGCACCCAGAGCCAGTCTATCCTGGAGCAAGGGTCTGGCTGTGGGCCTCCGGCTCCCACACCCAGTGTGGAGCCCTGGGGGTAGGCTGAGCCAATGTCCGTTGTCGTGGGGCCAGATGGAAAGCAGCATCTGGCTGCTTTCTTTGTTCCACCGGTAGCCCCTGCCTTTAGGGTCTGCATCTTCACTCTGAGAGACCCCCAGGACCCAGGTCAGGGCTGCACTCAGGAGTCTGCAGGTCTGGGCTGATTCCTGGCCTCGCTCCTTGTTTGCCGTGTGGCCTCGGCACAGCCACCTAGCCCTGACCGGGTGCAGGGTGCACACAGAGGCTTGTGGTGTGTCTTCCCTGAGGGCTGGTGTGGGCGCTGATGGGGATCGTGCCCCTGGGGGGCCCACTAGGGGCCTGGAACCAGTGGTCTCTGGACAAGTTCACGTGTTGTTCCCTCCCTCTTTAACTGCCTCACACGACACGTATGTCTCTTTATCATGCTTAATCTTACATTTCACATGCCCATCCCTTCTTGCTGATAGGCTGTCAGCTCTGCAAGGGCACGGCGCCCTGCCTGCCCCCAGCACCCAGCAGGGCCAAGCCAGAGCAGGCTGGGGGAAGGCACACGCGTGCTCGCACAGGACATCCTGTTGCCCTCACGAGACCCCGTCCACGGCTGCTTCTGCCGCGAGGCCAGCGTTCACACCACCTCAGCCTGGGGCCCAGCGTGACTGGAAGCTCCCAGGCGATGGCCTTTACAGATGCGGAATCATTAACTCGCCAGTCTGGGGAAATACATGATGGTTTGCCGTGGATTGCTGCGGGTCCCCAGACAACTTTCTTAGCTTCTTTGGGAAAGCTGAGTTTCCTCACTGTGAAACGTGACATTAACAGGGAGAGGATCCGCCTGAGGCCTCAGCCCTGTGCCCGGTGGGGAGCAGGCCGGGCGCTCAAACTGCTCCGCCTCTCCCGCGCCCAACAGGTCATAAAGAACTCCCCCGTGAAGACCTTCGCCAGCGCCACCTTCAGCTCGCTCCTGGACGTGTTCTTGTCCACGACGGTGTTCCTGGTTCTCTCCGCCACCTGCTTCCTGAAGTATGGGGCCGCGGCCACGCCTCCTCCACCGGCCGCCCTGGCGGTCTTTGGGGCAGCCCTGCTGCTGGAGGTGCTGTCCCTCGTGGTGTCCATCAGGTAAGGCGCCTGCGGCAGGGCCGCCGCTCCAGCTTTGAGCCTGTAGCTCCCCCTTCTGGCTGGACGGCTTAGGGCGGGGCATTCCGACTGCCCCACAGCAGGCCCAGGGTCCACAGCCAGCTGCCCCTCCCTCACCATGGCCTCGCAGCGGCCTCCCTCCTGGCCGGCTCTCGGCACAAGTGGGAGCCCACTTAACTAGAGAAAGCCCGGGGCCCACTGCAGGCCCAACTGCCGCCAGGTCTCCCTGGGTCCCCTGGATCGGAGATGGAAAAGGAGAAAGTGGGGAGACAGGAAATGAGAGAGGGAGGTGGAAAGGAAAAGGACAGGTGCCCGCAAGTCAGCAAGTGCCGACCGCGAAGCCTCAGAGGAATGGGTTGGCCTCAGTCTTCATAAGCTTGGATTACCCAGTGGTTTCTTAGGAACAAAAGAAAAACTGTAGGTGTGGTTTCATCAAGATTTAAAACTTCATGCCGCAAAAAGCATTCTCAAAAAAGCAAAAGGGTGGGCATTTGGCCTGGCCGTTGAGATGCAGATTTGGGAGCCCACGTCCCTCAGCGGAGTGTGTGACTTTAAATTCCAGCTCCATTCTTGACTCCAGTTCCGGCTAATGCGCACCCTGGAGGCAGTGCTGAGGCTCAGGCACTGGGTTCCTGCCACCCGCGTGAGAGACCACGTCCAGTTCCTAGATTGCAACTCCTCAGCTCCTGCCTCCTGGCTGTTCAAGTTATCTGGGGAGAGAAGCAGCAGACGAGAACCCTGTCTCTCTCTCTCTCTCTCTCTCTCGCTGCCTCTCAAATAAACAACAGTTTTTAAAAAGCAAGCAAGTGGAAGAGAACTCACAGGATGGGAGGGAGTATTTGTAGGTCCTATCTGTGAAGAGTCAGATCTAGAACAGGGGTGGGGAACTGTTTTCTGCCGTGGTCGCCTGGGTATTTATAACATCATTCACAGGTCTCACAAAATTATCAACTTCAAAAAACTAGCCTGCTGTAGATTTATTGAATTTTAAGCCCCCACCCTCGGTTGCCTTGGCAGGGCCAGACCAAATTATTTCAATGGCTTATACAGCCTACAGGTCAGACATTCCCCAGCCCTAATCTAGAATTTGTAAAGAACGTATACAGCTCAATTTTAAAAGCAAACAAAACCAGTCCATTTTAAAAAGGGGAAAGGATCCAGACAGGCCACAGGTGCCTGCCAGGGTAGCTGGGCCCTCAGGACCTGCCCTGCCCCCAGAGGAAGCTCATGGCTGCTGCGCCTTCCCTGACCACGTGCAGGCAGATTGCCCTGTGCTGCCTGCATCCTGGGTCCCATGCCATGGGGTCCGTGCACCGTGACCACCTCACCCAGACCTGTCATCCTCAGTAGGACAGCCCTCAGTCACTAGTTCCTGGTCACAGCCAAGCTCAGTGGGGGTGTTCGATGTATTGCAGGTGCTGGGGCCTGCGGAAGGCTCGGAGGCCTGGGTGGGGGTGAGGGAGCCTTCGGAATCAAAGTAGCGGCTCCTGGTCTCTGCACAGGTGCTGCTCCCCAGCAGCAGGCTTGAGGGAGGGGCTGGTCTCCCCAGCACATGTGCGGATCTCCCCCTCAAGATACCCCCAGTACCTCCTTCTCTGTCTCCCCCTGCCCTGGCCTAGAGAGCCTCCTCCTCACCAGCAGTTCCAGGCCCACCCACTGGGCTTCCCCTGTTCATGCGAAGATATTACATCATCACCCTCCCCTGAGTATTGCTCATCCTGCCTGGCACTCAGATGCAAAAGGAGTTGGTAATATGCAGGAGAAGCAGAAGGGAAGTCGCTGAAAAGAAAGTACATGGTGCTTGCCCTTGGGTATGCCACCAGGGAGATCAGGACAGAGCTGTTTGCCTCATGCACACAGCACTGGGGACGGCCACACAGGTGGGCGAGTTTGGTGAGCCAAGCACCGTGAGCTGGGTTCAGTCTGTGCCATGACTTTGTGCAGTGCTGAAGGCTCTGGGTGATGTCCCAGATGGAGCAAAGATGAGCTTTCCTTGGTTTGCACAGGGCTAAATTGCATTCCTGGAAACTGAGTGTGTGTCAACAGCCCCCCCGGCTCTTGGCAGTAGCACCCCTCTGTCACTATAGGAACCAGACACCCCCCCCCCCCAACTGTAGTATGCCTCCAGAACCGCTCCATTCAGGTCCTCTCACGCCAGGAGCAGGTGGGAACAGGTGACAGTTGGGGCCTGTTAATGTGACTATTCCTACGGGCTTCATCGAACCCAGTGAAGCCCTTGTGGTTTTTGACCGACACATTTTACTGCAGTGCAAGGTGCAATGAGCTGAGCAAGGCCAGTTTCCTTGCCATCTACCAAACATGCGGAGGTGGAGGCTTTGCCTGGGGTCCACACCCCTGTTGGGGGGTGGGGTGGGGCCAGCAGCAGCACTGGAGAGTCAAGGGCAGCACTGGCCGGGCCCCTGTCCCTGCTGTCCCAGCAGGCTGACCTACCCAGGCCCCCACACTCCTGACCTCCACTTCCTGTCTCAGGATGGTGTTCTTCCTGGAGGACGTCATGGCCTGCACGAAGCGTCTGCTGGAATGGATCGCAGGCTGGCTGCCGCGCCACTGCGTGGGAGCCGTGCTGGTGTCCCTGCCTGCCCTCGCTGTCTACTCCCATGTCACCTCGGAATTTGAGACAAACATACATGTAAGTAACGGCTTGACAGTTTTATCTCTGCGCTTCCCTGGACTCCCTGGTGCCGTGTGTGTGTGTGTGTGTGTCTCTCTCTCCCTCCCTCTCTCCCTCCCTCCCTCCCTCCCTCCTTCCCTCCTCTCTTGAATAAGCCTGATTATTCGGGACAGCAATTTAAATACAGGATATGCCCTTTAAGAGGCCAATGATCTGTTAGTGCTTGAGCCCGCCTTTTAGAGACAACTTGGCACAGCCTGTCCAGGCACCGAGCCCCGTAACTGGCTCTGCTGGGCAAACTCCCCGGCGGGCACGGTTGCCTCTCAGTTTCACCAATTTGGTCTTCCCCACATCAGTCACAGACAGACCTGACAGCTGACAGGTCCACCTCGTGGAGGGGCACAAACAGCCACACGGCCATTCTGTTTGTCGCTTTCAGTCCAGCATCCAGGAATTAACACAACATTCTCAGCATCTTGTTACAAACCGGGTTTGTGTAGGCACGTTTGGACGGGCTCGGCTGAGCTGGTGCCACGAGGTGGTTCTGACCTGTGACGGCTTCCTCAGGACGTACCCCCATCACAAGCCGAGGAGCACCATGTTTTCCTGTGTGCTTTCCAAAGAAGCATCTGCCCTGCTTTCCAGACGACCTAAGATCGTGAGCCAGTCTTTAGGGCTGACACTCTGGATCAGCTGCTGCCACCCAGGGCGGGAGTGAGCTAGCGCAGTTGTACATCACACTTCTGGTGCAAGTGGGGACAACACAGGCTGTGGGGACAGGCTGCTCTCACACCAAACTACGTTTCAGCGGGCACGTGGCAGGTGCCCAAAGGAGAAACTCTCTGAAGGTAACCAGTCACCTGACAGTAGCTCCCAAGCATGGCCTCGCCCTGTGCTGTCCACGGTAACACACACCTGGAGGACAGCCTCAGTGACTGAGGCGTTAGCTTAGTGACTTACAAGCTGAAGTGCTGGGTAATGAAGTTAAAGACGCATGATGTGCCTTTAAACTGCTAGCTAGGTAAAGGTCTAAATTACTGCAGATAGATAAGCAGTGTGGTGGTGTCAACAATAGTTTAATATTGGCTAGATCTGTAATTCCAGGGCAGCTCAGGCGGGACAGGGAGAGGAGGAGGAGGAGGCCCCGCTAACGCCTGCTCTCCTTGCAGTTCCCGGTGGTCACGGGCTCGGCGGTGCTGGTCGCCGTGGTGCACTACTGTAATTTCTGCCAGCTCAGCTCCTGGATGAGGTCCTCCCTGGCCACCATCGTGGGGGCTGGGCCACTGCTTCTGCTCTACATCTCACTGTGCCCGGACAGGTATGTGACCGGCACTGTGTGTCTGGCACCCTTGACTCAGGGTCACCTTGCCCAGGGTCACTTAGGGCTCAACCACTTGCGCATCAGCACGGACGCCTCCTATGATGCGTTTATGACCCCGGGTAGCTCACAGCACGTATAGCGTCTGAAAAGTCACAACATGCCCCAAGAGGAATATGCCAAAGAAGTAGTCCTGACAAAATACCACAGGTGAGCAGCCCTAGTCCAAAAATCCGAAGTCCTCCAGAACATTCTGAGTGCATACGAGATGCCACAGGTCTAATGGTTTCGTGTACACTGACTTTGTGTTGTGTACAGAATTACTAAAGACATACAATATAAATATCATCATAAAATATATATATATTTATAAATAAAGTGTTAAATATTATGTATGTGCTTGGTATAAACAATATAAGATAGTATAAGTTATATGTAATTACTATCGGGTTATATGCATATTAGGTGAATATGAAGCATGAATGAATATTGTGGTTAGCTTTGGGTCCCATTCCCAAGATAGCTCATTAATGTGCGTGCAAATATTCCAAACTCCAAACACAATCTGTAATCTGAAACACTTCCATGTGTCTTCTACTAATTGATAATGTTTCATTCTTAGGCTGTCAAAATCAGTCTCAAATTGCCTGTTGCACATTGCAGCTGGTTTTGTGACTTTTAAGCTGTTCGTCTAAATATGCAGCTGGAAATAAAGTGATACCTTGGATGGCAGAAAGCACAGAGTGAACAGAGTGTTCGAAAAGTCCATGGGATCTTAACCCTCTAAGCTTCTGTTTGTGTAACAAATTTCTAAATATAACTGCTTATACAAATGTTTATTAATATAATTACAGAAGGTTTAGGCTAGCAGGATATTTTTAAATCGCACGGGACGTTTCTTCACTGTGCTTTGCAGGAATCTGACGGGCTTGCCCTCTGAATTACTCTGACAACCAGAGGGCTGCCTTTCCTAGGTGGGGCACGGCTGTGGCTGAGGACCACTGCTTTACGCAGAACGGTCCAGCTCGCCTGATAGCGGCAGCATCAAATGTAGTGGTCCTCAGGTAGCTTTGGATATTAGCAAAGCGGTGGTCAGTAATGGGCTCAGTTTACTCAGTCCCCTAGTAACAATATGAAAGACGGTCTCTGCAGATCAAGATCAAACAGGGAATTTAAAGTAGAATTGCCGTTGGATGTTTGGAAGGAAGCTTTTAGTGAATCAATTACTTTAAGCAAAACACAGCGTGTGTTTACTTGTCTGAAGGTGGAGCCATCTGGAATTGTGGTCATTACGAAGCTCTTTCCCGGAGCGTGAGATCCAGAAGTTGGCTTTTTAACCCTTCCTGTCCATCACAGATCTACAGTGCCGTGCCCGGCGTTCTTCAGTCACAGCTGTGGGGCTTTCCCACCCGGGTCCAGTGAGGCAAAAATACGAGGGGCCACCCCATCACCCTCTTGTGAACCCACGTAGCAGTGGGCTGGAGGCTGAAGCTCCCCCAGCCCAGGACCCCAGCAGGCCCAGACGTTGCCAACCCATCCATCGCCGTCATCATTGCCAGGCCTGCCCACGTGGGAAGTGCGTGGCGCAGTACACAAAAACTTTAGCTCAGTTTTACAAAAGGGGGGGCTTCAGGGAGCTGCCCTCAGTACTGGGGGGACATACATAGATCACAGTGATGTCATTTAGACCACGTCTAAAAGAGGGAAAGTTTGTTTAAACCCCTCTCAGGTTGCTTTCTAGAGTGTTTTCTTTGTAATCGTATTTTCCTGTGCTTTAATTTCAGTCCCATAGTAGTGTCACCCCTGGACGCAGTACAGAATTTCAGGTAAGCTTTTACTACTGTGCCTATGTCTGAGTAACTGAGATAGCCTGTGCTGTTACTGCTCGTCGCTACACTTCCTGGGAACGGTTGTATCTTGAATGAAATGAATGATGTGTGTGTTCTTAGAAGAGGGAAAATGGGTGTACTTGTTGGAATGTCACAACATAGTTACAATATCTTGTTGGGAAAGTAAAATGATTATTAAGACATACTGGCATTGCTCTTATTTTATGTAAGACATTATGTTATAAAGGAAATCTCATAGATTTTTAAAAAAAAATGTTATTTTATTCCCCAAAATACTTCGAAATAACTGACTAGAAATTTGAAATAATCAGTGTTGGATCCTTGCTTTACTATAAATAAATTCTAAATAGACTGAAGATTCAAAAATAGAAATTAAATTATGTGAGGTTCTTTAAAAATTTTTTGGAAAATGAATTGAAAGGTATGTTTATTAGAGGCTGACAGTGTGGCATAGTGAGTAACACTGCTGCCTGCAATACTGGTATCCTAGATGGGTGCCAGTTCGTGTCTCGCCTGCTCCACTTCTGATCCAGCTCCCTGCTAGTGGTCTGGGAAATGCCAGAAGATTTTTGGGCCCCTGCCATCCATGTGGGAGACCTGAATGAAGCGCCTTGCTCCTGGCTTCAGTCTGGTCCATTGCAGCCATCTGGGGAGTGAACCAGCAAGTGGAAGATCTCTCCCTCTGCCTTTCCCTCTCGCCCTCTGTAACTCTAACTTTCAATATAAATAAATAGATCTTTTCTTTAAAAAAGATATATTTATTTTGGTGCAAAATTTTTAGAAATCCTTGAATAGTTTTCATAATATGTGTTTTCTATGAACTTTTTAAAGACCTCCCTTATGTATTAATTTCAAACTGTTTTGCACCAAAATAAGCATTCTTTAATTGTTTCCATGAATGTTTTGGAGCACCCTCATATAAAATCTAGGAAGAATAAGTTAAATAGAGGCAAGCATAGTGGCACAGTGGGTTAAGCCGCAACTTACGGTGCTGGCATCTGGTATCAGAGTGCCAGCTGCTCCACTTCCAATTCAGCTCCCTGCTAATGCACCTGGGAAGGCAGCAGATAATGACCCAACTATCTGGGCCACTGCCACTGATGTGGGAGACCCAGATGGAGTTCCTGGCTCCTAGCTTCAACCTGGCCCAGACCTGGCCATTGCATCCATTTGAGGAGTGAACCAGTGGATGGCAGACCTCTCTCTGTCTTTATCCCTCACTGTAACTCTTTCAAATAAATAAAATAAATCTTTAAAAAAGAAAGAAAGAAAATAGGGGAAAAAACTAAAAGAAAATTCAACGAATGTTAATGGGAATTGTACCTGAATGATCCTACAATGGGTGAATCATTTTTAGATTTCTGCTTTTTTACCTAAATTTTCTATGAGTAGGTAGTGTTTTTAAACATAAAAAAAAAATCTGTATTTTTAAAAGCAAACATTAAGAGACGGGGCTCCTGGCCACTGCTCTTCAGTCCCCAGAAAGCAGCTGCCTGGCCCTGACCCCACGCAGCTGGAGAAGCTCCCAGGGAGGCAGGAGCAGTTGTGGACCAGACGGGCAGAGGTGGTTTCAGCGTCACGGGAGGAAGGTGTGGGAAGTGCCAGTGCGGTCCTAAACGTGCAGCATTTAACATGCCTCCCGGCCACACACGGAAGAACCGATCGAGCGCAGGAACACTCACTGCGTGGTTGCTCGCGCTGGACGGGCGCAGCCCCAGTGCCTGGCGGCAGGGATCTGGTGAGCCTCAGTGCATTCCTGCGTCGGAGCGCCGTGCAGCCGCGGGAGAATTACAGCACCGATTCTAGGCACGCGGGACACTTGTCTCCTGTCATCCACACTGTGTGAGCTTCTCAGTGTGTGTACTTTGCTTTTAAAAGTGCATATCTTAGGCTCTTAAAAAAAAAGTTGTATTAAAATGACCTTGGCAAAATAGAACTATCCCAGAGAAGGAGGAAATTTACTCAATCAAATTTTTATACCAGTAGAGATTTAGGGAATTGATCATAATTCTTTATAAAATTATGAGTCTTTCAGAGTAGAAATGCAAGAAGCAAATATATCAGACGTTATTAAAAATTTGCACTGTGGTTACGTAGGGAAGTGCCTTTACTCCTAGGAGACATTTACTAGACTATTAACGACTGGAGTGCTGTGATGTCAACAACTTTACTTCCACAGTGTTAAACTGTGTAAAGAAGAAAGGCAAAGAGGCAAAATATTCACAGTTGTTGAGTCTGGGGGAAGAATGTATGGTTGAGATTTAAAAAAAAAAGTTGGGGGAAAAACACATTTTAAAAAACCAAGGGGGAAAAAATAACTAGAGAGCGTTTATTGAAGAAGCCAATTATGAAAGTCAGTCTTTATCCCCCCGTGTCCTCCTCCTGCCAATCAAACAGAAACAGAAACAGGCTGCACGTCGGCCTCGGTTGCTGCAGGTTGCGACTCAAGCAAACTTTGCACGGGATGCCAGCCAGCTCGGCTGTTTCCCCACGTTCCCATAAAAAAGATGCACTCAGCAGCTGTGCCCTTTCTCGTCTTCTTGCTCTCCAGCTCCGGGAGGAGTCCGTGCAATAGCTCGCTGCTGCAGGACAGCAAGAGACCAGCCAGCCTCGTGGGCGAGGAGCTGATCCTCGTCTTCTTCCTCCTGCTCCTGCTGGTCTGGTTCCTGAACCGAGAGTTCGAAGTCAGCTACCGCCTTCACTACCACGGGGACGTGGAAGCGGATCTGCACCGCACCAAGATCCAGAGCATGCGGGACCAGGCCGACTGGCTGCTGAGGAACATCATCCCCTACCACGTGGCGGAGCAGCTGAAGGTATCCCAGACCTACTCCAAGAACCACGACAGCGGAGGGGTCATCTTTGCCAGCATCGTCAACTTCAGCGAGTTCTACGAGGAGAACTACGAGGGCGGCAAGGAGTGCTACCGGGTCCTCAACGAGCTCATCGGGGACTTCGACGAGCTGCTGAGCAAGCCAGACTACAGCAGCATCGAGAAGATCAAGACCATCGGGGCCACGTACATGGCGGCTTCGGGGCTGAACACCACGCAGTGCCAGGACAGCAGCCACCCCCAGGAGCACCTGCAGATCCTGTTCGAGTTCGCCAAGGAGATGATGCGTGTGGTGGACGACTTCAACAACAACATGCTATGGTTCAACTTCAAGCTCAGAGTCGGCTTTAACCACGGGCCCCTCACGGCGGGGGTCATCGGCACCACTAAGCTGCTGTATGACATCTGGGGGGACACCGTCAACATCGCCAGCAGGATGGACACCACAGGCGTCGAGTGCCGCATCCAGGTGAGCGAAGAGAGCTACCGTGTCCTGAGCAAGATGGGCTATGACTTCGACTACAGAGGGACGGTGAACGTCAAGGGGAAGGGCCAGATGAAGACCTACCTTTACCCCAAGTGCACGGACAACGGGGTCGTGCCGCAACACCAGCTGTCCATCTCCCCGGACATCCGCGTCCAGGTGGATGGCAGCATCGGACGGTCTCCCACGGACGAGATCGCCACCCTGGTGCCTTCTGTCCAGTATTCGGACAAGACGTCCCTGGGCTGCGAGAACGCGCAGGCCAGGGACGCGCACCCATCTTCCAAGAGGCCCTGGAAAGAGCCCATCAAAGCCGAAGAAAGGTGTCGGTTTGGCAAAGCCATAGAGAAAGATGACTGTGAAGACGTGGGGCTGGAGGAAGCCAACGAACTCACCAAGCTTGACGTTTCCAAGAGCGTGTGAGGCGGCACGGAAGCTGCCTGCGGTGCTCCGTTCGTCGAAACACAATAATATTTGTATCTGGCTGCGGTGCTGCCCAGGCCCCACGGTTCCTGTCCCTGGATGTGGTGTCACGTGGTCATTTCAGCCCCTGCCCCACTTCTGTGTGGATCACAGTTATTCAGGGTTCATTTCCATCCGTGTCTCCTCTCCTTTGCTCCCTTCCCTGGAAATCTGCCCTCCTTGGGGTCATCCATTCAGCCGTGTGGAGGAGAACAAGTGCCTTCAGGTCGGCCTTGGCCGCGAGGCTAGGACCGAGGCTGCTGGTGGACATCATGGCTTTGGCTGTCACTTGACGTTTAAAACAGAAGTTGTGGTTGAGATGTCATCTTTATTGCTTTTTCTCACGAGACACTTTTTTTTTCCTTTTGGCTCATACAACGTGTTTGAGTTTATTTTTTCCAGTGTACATAATAGCATTTCCCAGTTACCTGGCCTTTCTCTGTAAGCACACGCACACACGCACACTTGCATTTATGAATCTGATCTAAAGTGCCAGTAATTCACCGAGAGGGGCCGAGAACGGGGGTGGGGACGTGGCTGAGAGAAGCCCAGCCAGCCCCTCCTCTCCTGTACTTTCCCAGGCACCAGGGGCCACGTTGTGGGCTGCGGGTGGACCTTGTTCCCGATCCCGAGTGGTTTTGGGGTTCACCCATGCACAGGCCGAGATCTCAGACGCTAACCAGGCACTGAGCTTGTGAACCCAGGCCTCAGGTATCTCAGCCTGACTCCCGCCGAGGGAGGGTCTTCCAGTTGGGAGTGAAGGTGTTTTTCTTGGAAGCTGACGCCCAAGGGTTGCACTTATTTATTTATTTATTTATCAGGAGATGTAGTGTCTCGGGGAGGGGGTGCTGTGTCTTTCTGTGGAAGGAAATAGGCCTAGGAAAGAGGGCAGTCCACCGAGGGTGCGGCAGGCTGCCCACCCGGTGTCCGTCAGCCACCTGGGCCCAGCGCAGGTCTGGGAGGGCAGTGCTGGCGCCATCTTGGCTTCCACAAACTCGAGAACTTTCTCCCTTCTCTCCCATCCTCGGGCTAGGCAGGGCCTGTTGTTGGTGGTGCGATTTTACCTTGCGAGTTCATGGCAGCCCCTTGAGAGAAGGGATAGAGTCATCTGTGTGCAAATGAGGTGTCCAGCCAGGGGAAGGCTTTGGAGAAAGCCTGAGGAAAATCCCTTCCACCTGTGTGGCTGCTGGTCCTGTTGGGCACTCTGCTTCGTGGCGTCCGGTCAGAGCCTGTGTTGAGTCGGACTGCGCCGCGTCGTGGCCGTAGCAGGTGCTGCAGGTGCACAGCTCATGAGATGAGTGGGGCTGGCTCCCTGCCTGCTGAAGGCCGGCCCAGGCACGCCCTGTGCACGCTCTTCTCCCTGGTAGATCTCCCCCAGTTACTTCCACATCTGCCTTGTTCTCTCACCACTCCTCCTCCCCAAAGACGGGCAGAGTCTGCCGCTTCAGGCCCCGATGAAACCCCGGTTCCCGCCAGCTGGCCATCTAGGGCCATGCCAGGGCACCCGGAGCGATGGAGAACATTCTCAGTTGATTGTTAAGATTTTCCGTCAGGGTTGACTGTCAGCCTGTTGGTCTTCCAATACCGAAGAAGATGGTTGTGACAATACCTCTCGCTTCTGAAGAATGTATTCTTATAAAATACTGCAGACATTTTTTTTCTTAAGAAAACACTACCTGATGCTTTCCTTGTATGCAGGGATTGTGGGCACATTGGGGTTTTCCTCCATCAGTATTAAGGTGAGTGTCATCCTTCTTTGCCTTCCATCCACCTCCAGGCTGTGTGGCTCTGAAGGGCTGGGCGGTGGCCAGTGTCTTTGCTGTGTCGCTCCAGGTGTGCTCTCCCAGGTTCACCTCCACACACACCTCTTCCCTATCACGTTCTTCTCCTTCTCTACCACAAAGGTGTTGGCGATTCCTCACCCCGAGACCCCAAGGAGCTGCCAACTCCAGGGAGAGAAAAGGTAATTTCCGGGGGGACCTCTGACACAGGGCACCTCACCCAGCATGTTATGTGGTCTTTTCAAAGCACCCCGAGCCACCCTCAGTAACCAGGACAGATGTTCTCCCAGGCCAGGAGGCCCCTCGGGTCCTTCCCAGCTCCCTGCTCCAGAGCATACCTCAACACAGAGCCGCAGGGTCTCCACAGCGGACACACTGTGCGTCAGCCTGTTGTCACAGAACCACGAGTTGCTGGAGACAGACAGGTTCCCAGGCGGTGGGCTCACGTGCCCAGGGTGGCCGAGCCTCTTAGCAGCGCAGGGCAGGAAGCAATACCCCCGAGTGAAGACGTGTAAATAACCGCTTCCGTCGCAGTCGCTCTTCTCTGCCCCAGCTCAGATCAGAACGTTGACACACATGTATGCACACGTGCACACACGGACACACACGGTCAACAAGCACATGCCATTGTATCTACTGCACACACACGTAGAGCAGCCGTTACGAGCCCTCAGCAAGCTGGAAGAGGCCCACATCTGTGCCACGCCCGCGCACGACTCCTGCGACACTGACTCATGCCGAGACCGCACCTGCACATTTGCACATGACCTGGAGAGCCAGAGGCGGCGTGCGACCCGCTGCCGGGGCTGTGATCATTTGTAGTTCCCAAAGATATGTCTGCATTTGAATTTCCAGATTCCCGAGGCGAGCATTTTCTTGATTGGTTGTTTGGAAAATCATATCATGCCTAGAATCTGAAAATTGAATTAGCAAGAACCAACTGTTTGCATTTCCTGTATTTCCTTTGCTCTGCTCTTTGTAAATTGTTAATTCTGATAATTTGAAAATGCATCCACTGAAGAAATGGACATTAAAATATTCTAAAATCTGAACATCCGACGCCTGGCATTTCCTCATCAGGGCCACCTCAGAGGTCGGGGCAGCCCATGCTTGCATGGTCTATGGCAGAAATAGGAAGACTGGCTTTGCCGTCACATGACAAAGAACAGAATGAAGGTAACCTGTGTGTGTGTGTGTGTGCATGAGAGTGTGCCTATGTGTGTGACCATGTGTATGTGTGAGTGTGCGAGCATATGTGTGTTAATGGACCTATTTCCTATTGGTTAACTTTGGTTACCCGGGATTTAAAAATAAAGATTAGGCTATGGGAAAGCTTTGCTGTGACTGTCCCCTGTTTTGCTAAGAGGAGGAACTGACTGAGGAGGCAGAGTAGGCTCTCTGAGGCGACGCACCCAGGCAGTCCCTCCCGCACAGACTGCAGGTGCAACCCAGGTGCTTCTGGGCTGCAGCCCCGTGCCAGTGCTGAGGGCACCCCCAGGAATGTCCCAGAGTCAGGGAATGAGGTCTGGCTGCACGGAGGCCCTTCTGTGAGAAAGGGCACCTGGGGCCCTCGAGGACTGTCATGGGAGGCGGCCTGTGTTTCACAGCAAGCTGCAGAACTTGTCATTTGTGGTTTCCCTTTTGTCTGAAATCTCCACACAAGGTTGCTTTGCCCTGCCAGGGCTTCTGTCATTGTGGCCAGCTGGAGGAGATGCCAGGAACCAGGAAGGGGAAGGCGGCTGGAGAGGAAGTGATTAAGGCGAGTGCGTATTCGCAGACGGTGCACGTGTCCACTTAAAGTCTTCCCAAGTGTTTGTTTTTAGACAGTTCCTTTGCAAACGTCCTCTTTTTGTTTTTGTTTGTTTGTTTGTTTTAATAACATGACTCCAAAGAGCTGCTCCTGAGTGTTGGAGTGAAAGCTGGGGGAGTGCTCATATCCCACTGGGCCTGCGAGTGCTGGGAAGGTGGAGGTAACCCTCCCGCGACCTCCCGCATCAGCAGCAGGGGTTCTGGACCTGGGGTGGTTTTTTTTTTCTTCTTCTTCTTACAAAGCTTTTGATAGTTTGAGGAAAGCTGTGGTTCCTGTCTCCCGAAAAATGCACAGGAAAATTAACCTCCTTGATGTTGCGTGTGGCCTCAGGAGTTGTGGACCCAAACAGAGCGCCCCTGATCCCAGCAGCCAGAGGGACAATGGCTTTGGATTGTGGCGTCCGGGTCAGGGCCCCAGGCACTCCCAGACCCTCCCTGGGAATGCATTCAACACGTAATGCTTCTGACTTTTACATTTTGGGATTTTATGAGCAAAGTATATATTTGATGAGGCAAAGAACTTTTCGGTATATAAATACAGTCAAGTTATTTCCCAAATATAAATAAAATCCAGCCAGTGTTCAATGAGTGCCTATTATGTGCCAAATAGCTCCAAAACTCCCCTGTACTAGGCCGGTCAGCTTGGTGCAATACTTGAGGGTATTTGAGAAACTCTGCTGTCCATGACGGCTTTATCAGCATGAATTCCACCAGAAAAAGAACTTCCAAGACGCCGGAAGCCACATGGGGACATCCTTGTCCTGACTGACGCTTTGGAACAGTGACGTCTCAACCGCTGGAGATTACCAGTGCTTCCTGATCGCACTCGGTCTCCGTGGAAAGAGCCGCAAGTGTGACCTGTGCAGGGACAGCGCATGCTCGTGCAGCTGGACGAGGCGCCCATTCTGCATGCCGCCTGTAAGATGGTAGATTCTACTTCTGAAGCAGCCCTCTCCTGACAGCGTGAGGGTCTCCAGGCTGAGCACAACACTGGTTTGGCAGGCGAGAGAGCCTTGTGGTGGGAGTCGTGTCCCGCGCAGCAGAGAATCCCCCCGCCCTGCCCCCGCCTCCTGTCTGGAGCTGAGGCTCGGAGGGCCCGTCTCCGCCGGTCCCATCGCAGCTGGGCGGTCCGGAGGCAGAGGCAGCCTCTGCAGCCTCCCGGAGCTGCCGTCCCTCTGCCTTCCTCTCCTCGTCGAGTAAGAGTCTTGGCCCGAGGCTGGGAGGGAGGTGAGGACCCTGTGGAGGCTCCCGTGGGCGAAGGCTTGCTCGTGCCCAGACACCCCGCGCACACACTCCCACACCCTTCCTCCTGGGGACCACCCACCTCGTGCCCCACAGCGGTCCAGCATTTTGTCTCCTCCGGAACTGCCCTCAAGGTTCTCCTGATGTAGCACTGCTTCTGCCTCAGTGGCGTGAGCCCCAAGACAGTCCTGCTCTCCACTCAGCACGCGGTCTCCACCGCGAACCCCCATGCACAGCAGGTGCACCTCGGCAGCGTGGCAGCCGGACACTTGTTTGGCTCAGAGTCAATGATCCCATGCTCACGTATGCAACTGTGCCTCCGCCGATGCGGTGTCTTCTGTCACGTCGTGACACCCAGGACACCTTGAACCTTGAACCTCACATGGCCTCCCAGAAGCGGGCCGGCAGAAGCGACCCCTCTCTAGAGACAGGTCAGAAAGCTCAGCCCAGTGCAGCCATCATTAGCCATCGTTCCCCCCCACAGCGGCGAATCGAGCACGAGCCCAAGTGAGTTCCTGTCCCTCCTCCCCTTTTCTTTGCAAGGAGAGAACAAGGAATCCAGGTGGTGGAGTTGCATGAAGTTAGTTCAGCAAGGGAACAGCCAGGAAAATGCATTTCACCTCTCTCCTTTGCTCGCTCTTACGGAGCTTCCATCAAGTGTGTTGTAGTTCAGATACCAAGTTTTAGAGTCCGAACAGAGAGGTTCTGAAACTGTCCCGCTGATTCTGCCTTCTGAAGACAGCACCCTGGAGAACCAAGCCGTCCGGAGCACTGCCAGGGAGACGCGAGGTCTGCTGCCTGCTGTGTCGTGTCCTTTCCACGAACAGAAATGGGACGCGCACCTTCGGCGGTCGCGGGGTGTTCCTTCCTCCTGCTCGCCACACAGCGAGTCGATGCTGGGTGGGTTTCCAGCCCCTCACCCAGCAGGGCAGGCTGAACTAGAAACAGGGAAAGAAAAGGCTGAAACACCCTGGGCCTGGGCCACTTCCTTGGGCTGCCATGGAGCATGGCAAGTTGGGGCTGGCGACAGTGGGACACGGCGGCTGTGGTCCCCTTGCTGTCCCCACGTGCTGCTTATCACTCTCCCCGCAGTGAGGCTGTCGTCCACGGTGCTGCCGGGGACACTTGGGGCGAACCTTCCCGGGACACGATGGCCGGGCCAGGCCCGGTCTCTAGCCCCTGGCCCCAGGCTGCTTCTCGCAGATTTCCAGACTTCTCAGGACCCCAGTCCGTGCTGCCCACCTGGCGAGCGCGGGGGTGTGGTCTGCGTTTAACGTAGAGGAACTCGGATTTCTGGGCACTAAGTGAAAAGCAAACAGAGCAGCTATTTTTTTTTTAAATGAGATTCGAAGCAAATATCCAGACAGTTTGGGATATCGGGATCCTCGCTCCAGAAATAATTCCAGCGGGACAAAGTGAGTCCATCGGCCGAACCCCTGGCCAGCGGTTCCGGCTCCTCCACTCGCTCTCCGCACAGGTTCTTGTCGGCTCCTCCAGCTCCATCTCCTGTACAGGCTCCCGCCTGCCTGGTCTGCCGAGGCGGCCATGCGCGGCCCCGTGCGTGACTTCCGGCGGGCGGTCTCGGGCCGGAAGTTCCCAGTGTGCACCGGGGGCGTGGGGGACTGGCCGGGGCCGGTTCCTCCGAGGGGGTCGTGGCTCCCGAGCGAGCGAGCGTCGTGCCCCGCTCGTGACGCCTCTCCCGGCCCAGCCAAGGCCGAGGCCGTCCCCGCAAGCTGCCCCGGGTGCTGGGCAAGCCTGCGACCCCACAGCCTCCCGGAAAGTCGTCTGCAAGCCCCTCTGGCTTTAGCCCGGCGGGCAGCGCTCCGGCCGGACCGGCCAGCCCGGCAGCAGCAGCCCGGGCGCCGGCTCCGCGTCCTCCTCACCCCGCAGCCCGGCGTGCGGGCCAGTACCGAGCGCAGACCGCAGCCCCAGCGTCGCCTCAGCCGCCCGCCGTGGCCTTCCCTGGCCTGCGGGTCCAGCAGCCGGGGGCCTGCGCCCGTCGTGGTATCGTCTGAAGCGGACGTTTTCTCAGCCCGCACGGACAGAACATTAAATGAAGAAGTCGCAGACCGTGAATAACCGTGCCATTCCCAAAGCATGGGCGCCTCTCTCTCTCTCAGATTTATTTATTTGAAAGTCAGCTACAGAGAAGGAGTGGCAGGGAGAGAGAGAGAATCTTCCATCCACTGGTTCACTCCCCAGATGGCCACAAAAGCCAGGGCTGGGCCCATCTGAAGCCTGGAGCCTCCTCCAGGTCTCCCACGCAGGTGCAGGGGCCCAAGGACTTGGCCATCCTCTGCTGCTTTCCCAGGCCACAGCGGAGAGCTGGATCGGAAGGGGAGCAGCCGGGGAACTGGTGCCCATATGGGATGCCGGCGCTGCTGGTGGAGACTTAACCGTCTAGGCCGCAGCGCCAGAAGAGTTGTATCTCTGTATAGGTGACAAGTACAGTATCTTGAATCCATTACTACAGGCCTTAGAGCCCGTTACACATTCGAGTGTTTTACCACATGAAACAGTTTCACACTACAGACCGGAAAGAGCTGGGGAAATAATTCAAAATTCAGTGTAATTAGCTCGAATTGTGTTTTTTATTTATTCTGGGCTTGGTACAGTTTCAAGTAGAAAGTGTGCGTAACACACGTTACCAAGCAGAAAATGTTTCTCTACGAGAACGCTGAGACCTGTGGTACGCGGAGCTCACCAGGGGGTCCCCGGGGTCCCTGGGGAGCCCGGCATCTCTCTCCGCCAAGCGGCCCACCAGGGCTGGCAGGCCACCATTTCTGGTGGCTGTTCCTGGGCCCCGAGGTAGGCCCTTTCCAGGGAGGATGTGTGCAGCCCCTTCTGCTGGACCCCTCCGGGCGCCTTTGGGCTTGGATAGAATTGTCTGGAACACACAGCGTGGCTGTGTGTTTCTGAGGCCTTGGCTGCCACGTGGCGATGAGCCTCTGGCTTCAGGTGGGAACCTGTGCCAGGCACACCTGGCCAGCCGGCCCCGCGGCCCCCGCTCCAGTGGTCTCCATTCCCGATGGCCAGAAGCCGGGTGCAGCCTCTCTGCTGAGACGCCTTGGCGTCTGGTTCCAGCTCGCTCTCAGTTCAGTGGAGTCCGTTCAACACTGAGCTCATGGACAGGGCTGAGCCAAAACCTGTTTTCCTTGGACTGCTGTGAGTAAAAAACAGAAGAGAAGGGCTCATTTTTTCCAGTGATTTTTTTAAAAAGTTCATCAATAGCACAGATCCAAAGTAAGTATTTATCCACTGGCCCGGTTTCCCAGTCCTGAGAAGGGCGGCTGCCAGTTTCCTGGGTTTTTAGGGGCTACGCCGCCGAGCTCCGGTGCCCAGGAGTCGGGAAGCTCTTCCCCGTGTGGTCGGATCAGGCCCCAGCTGCCTCTCTCGGCCGCCCCGGGCAGGCAGGTGCGTGGTGCTGACTCGCAGGCACGATGCAGGGCCTGCCGCCGGTCTTTGTGTTAAGACTGGCTGCCGCTGTTTAGGAAGCGGAAGCTGGCTGCTTAGCATCGTGCCCGGAGAGGAGAGCGGGCAGGGTGGCCTTCGGATGTGCGCTCCAGCACGCGCCTTGTGCTTACGTAATTGTGTCCAGGTAGGAAAATCAATGCCCTTTCTTGTCCAGTGTCTCCTTACAACGGATGGTGCCGGGGAAGGGACACGTCAGCCAGTCGTCCCCGGGGACCCCTCAGGCCTCCCCTGGACCCTCAGGCCTCCCCTGGAGCCCAAGGGGCTGAGGCGGCCGACCTGCCAGTGCCGCAGCAGTGCTTTGAAAAACAAGACAGCAGCCTGGAAAACACACTCTCGGAGCCCAGGGGGTCTGAGAGCAAAGACTGAAACGTGGGGCCGGCGTTCTCGTCTCCTTAACGGGTACTGGGTTCAGGTTTGGTCCGTGAATTAAGTTTTCTGCGAGGCTTTTTTTCTCCAGTCACGTTTTTCCCATCGTGAGGCGCTGATGTTAGCCTCAGGATTTTCAGAAGTCTGCAGCAACGTCAGGAGTCGGCTGCCAGAGAAACCCATCCCCCGTCTCCGTCCTCCTGGCCTGCACCGCCCCGCGGTGGTTTGTGGGGGTCTCCCTGTGTCCTGGATGCGTACGCATAGACATGCGTGCACCGAGACCCCAGACAGGTCCTGAAGTCAGGCCGTCCCCCGGGACTGGAATCCTCGTGGAGCAGGGCCTCACGCTGGCCGGCGCCGGGGCACTCAGCGGTCTCCCCGCCCAGCCGCTGTCCCTTTGCTTCTGCCTGCTCACCAGTCGCCCTGGCACAGCTCCCGGGAGGAAGAGCCGAGCGCTCGCTGGTGTGAAGAGTGTGTGTGTGTGTGCGTGCGCACGCGTGTGTGCAGGCAGACAGCCGCGGGCTTGGAGCAAGCACGTACGTCTCCAGCCTCCACAGGCAGGGCCAGGGACGGGTTCTGGGCGAGCCGAAAACCTCGATGAGTGAGGGGAACCCGTCACTCCCCCGAGACTCGGGCCTGCCCGGCGTGGGCTCGTGTGTCACACCAAGGGGAGGGGACGGCCCTCCTGCTTCCTGGAACCCAGAGAGTCCTCCTTACCTCACCAAGGAGCAGGGAAAACGGGAGGCAGAGGAGGAGGAGGGAGGGGGCAGAGGAGGAGGAGGGGGGGGGCCTTTTCTGCTTTGAAAGTGGACTTGGGCCGGGCTTGTGGAGCGGTGGGTTAAGCCGCTGCCTCGGACACCTAACTCCACACTGCTTCAGTCCGGCTCCACGCCTGATTCCAGCTTCCTGCCAGTCACACTGGGCAAGGACTGGGGTCCCTGCCCACCCAGCTGGGAGACCAGGATGGAGGTCCAGGCTCCCCGCTGGGGCCTGGCCCCGCCCTGCCTGTTGTCAGTGAATCAGCTGATCAAAGATCTCGCTCGCTCCCTCTCTCTGCCACTCTACCTTTCAATAAATAAAAATAAAACTTAAAATGGATTTGACTTTTTAAAAGATTGTATGTATTTATTTGAAAGGCAGAGGGGAAAGACAGGGAGAGAGAGGGAGAGGGAGAGAGAGATATCTTCCATCTGCTGGTTCATTCCCAAAATGACAGCAATGGCTGGGGCTGGGCCATTCCGAAGCCAGGAGCCCAGAGCTCTGTCCTCCCTCAAGGGTGACAGGCACCCTGCCTCATACCAGCTGCTGGCGTCTCGGGCCGCGGCTTAACCTGCAGCCATGGCGCCGGGCCCTGGGTTTGACACTTTCAGACCGTGTTCTATATCGCGTTTTCTAATCTGAGTGAGCACGCCTTCTTTCCAGAGTGGGCTCCCCCATGGGGTTGGAAGCAAACCAACAGGAAGTGCTGGGGTTTGACTCACTTCCTCCATGGCCGGCAAGGCAGACCCCCACCCCCACCCGGGCCAGCTGGGAGCAGGGCTGGGGCCAGGGCCAGCCTAGGTCATCACTGGTTTCTGAAGATTCACGACTCAGCCCGGAAGGATGCTGCTCTCAGCCTCCCCCGAGGGGCTGGGGGATGGCGGGCTGGGGGATGGCAGGATGCGGGGGCCTCTTCCTAGCCTGCAGACACTTCCCTGGATGAACCCGACCGCCTCAGGAGCCATTCAGCCCAGGAGACGCTGAGAGCAGAGACAAGGCACGAGGGACATTGCCTCCTCCCCACCCTCGCAGGGGAAGGCGCAGGGCCCAGCATCACGGTTCAGGGTCTGGAGGGAAAGGGTCCATCCCACCGGGTCCAGCAGCCGGGCCGGGAGTAGTTGAGGTCAGGCCAGGAGAATCTTGGAGGTTGGCCCTAGGCACCGGCTCTGCAGAAGCAGGCCCTCACCACAGCAGCAGATCTTGGAATATTCCAGAAACGTTTTCTAAACTTGCGTTCTAAGGTATTCATCCTCGAGCCGGCTTCTACCATCGGCACCCTTCTGGCTGGCGGGGCACAGCCAGGCCCTTAGGGAGCTGGGGAGGGGGTGCAGAGAGAGGTCCCAGGGGCTGATGAGAGTGGTGAGCGGGCCAGGGTCACACGGTGCAAGGAGGGCCCAGGGTGCTCTGGCCAGCAGGACTGTCCCTCCGGTGTCCCAGAGAGCCCTAGGGACAGCAGAGGGAGCCAGCACCACTGGCTCAGGACCCGATGAAGGCGCGGCTGTCATCGGACCTTTGGCAGCCCGGATGCTGCAAACCTCAGTGGCTGAATTGTCTGCACACCAGCCTGGCATTTTTTTAACCTTTTTACTTTTTGTGGAGTGTAACTCACGTCGGGAAATGCGTAGCGCTGGACGTGTGGTCACATATGTCTCCACCCATGACCCAGCAGCGCTGGGGACCAGGAGCTCCACAGCCCCTCCTGTGCGGTGGTCCACGCCCCAGCACCCAAGGCCACACCCCAGCACCCGAGGCCACACCCCAGCACCCGAGGCCACGCCCCAGCACCCAAGGCCACACACCAGCACCCAAGGCCACGCCCCGGCACCCGAGGCTGCTGCTCTGACCTGGCCCATCACAGACCGCTGCTTCCTTTTTGCTTCTGGCTCCGTTCACATCCCTGGACTCACAGCAAGAAGTGGCGCTGCCTGACCTCTCTCGTGCTCCCACACGCCGGGGTGCTCCCTCCATGCTGGTGGCCAGGATTGCTTCCTCACCTTGCGCCCTGACGAAGCCACTCCTTGCCTTTGCTTGTCCATCCTGTTGGAAATAAGGTCCTGGGGGACTCTAAATTGGAGCAGACCCTAACAGAGGGCAAATTAGCAAGAGCTAGGAACATCAGGCAAAGCCCACGCCCTCCCAGGAACACAGCCTACAGAACTGCTCAGACAGGCAGGGTGCCTGCGCCCCACCACCCATCAGCACACGGAGGTCCCCCGCAGACAGGACGAGCAGCCACAAGAAGGAACAGGGGAGCCGGCCCTGGTGTGGTGAGAGCTGCAAGTTGCGTTGTTTTAAAAAGCCAAGCGCAATGCCGGCGCCGTGGCTCACTAGGCTAATCCTCCACCTAGCAGCACCAGCACACCGGGTTCTAGTCCCGGTCAGGGCGCCAGATTCTGTCCCGGTTGCCCCTCTTCCAGGCCAGCTCTCTGCTGTGGCCAGGAAGTGCAGTGAAGGATGGTCCAAGTGCTTGGGCCCTGCACCCCATGGGAGACCAGGAGAAGCACCTGGCTCCTGCCATTGGATCAGTGCGGTGCGCCGGCCACAGCACGCCGGCCGCAGCGGCCATTGGAGGGTGAACCAACGGCAAAGGAAGACCTTTCTCTCTGTCTCTCTCTCTCACTGTCCACTCTGCCTGTCAAAAAAAAAAAAAAAAAAAGCCAAGCGCAGAGTAGCGCCCCCTAGGAAAAGGAATATATTTGCTCGTATTTGCATACTGTAAGAGGAGCAGGGTGCAGAAATGGATACCATGGATTATTTATGAGAGACAAAGTGGAAGGAAGTTTATCAGTGTTCTTTGGTAATCACTGAGGTTTTTTTTTTTTTTTAAAGATTTTATTATTTATTTGAGAGAGAGAGAGGGAAAGACAGAGAGAGGTCATCCATCGGCTGGTTCATTCCTCAAATGGCTGCATGGCTGGGGCTGGGCCAGGCTGAAGCCAGCAGCCAGGAGCTTCTTCCTGGTCTCCCATGCTGGTACAGGGGCCCAAGGACTTGGGCCATCTTCTACTGCTTTCCCAGGCCATAGCAGAGAGCTGGATGGGAAGTGGAGCCCATACGGGATGCCGGCATTGCAGGCGGCAGCTTTACCTGCTGCGCCACAGCGCTGGCCCCTCATTGACCTACTAAAACGTCAGCTCACTGTGAGCAGGCTAGAACCCACCGACTTGTACGCGTCTCAAGGGTACATCCCACGGTGAGCATCAGCTCTCCACGAGGAAGCAGGATTGTGGAACGCATAGGCCAAGGGGGAAGCAGCGCACGTGGGGACCCAGCGGCAGCCTCCGAGATGTGACAGAGCACAGGTGCTCTGGAAGCCCCGCCCCAGCCCCTGCTTCCTTCGTCCACTCATTCATTCCTCTGCTCGCCCATCAGAGGTAGCAGAGCACCTGCTGCCGCATGAGCGAGTGTGACGCTGGGGAGACGCTGGCCACGGCAGGTGGTAGAGGCCACCAGTGCAGATGTGGACGCAGTGGTTTGGGGCCCTGGAGGTCCTTCAGGGGCCAGCTCCAGCTTCAGGAACCCTGTGTGGCCCTTCCCGCGGAGTTAGGGCTTCAGTGACCACGGGCTGGGTTTGCCCTGGCCTCTGCTGACTTCCAAAGGCTCGGGCCGGGGTGGGGGGGCTCTTCCTGCAGTGGGGACCACGGTCAGCCTCTCCCACCTGTGCTGCCCTCCCCACTGGAGGGGGCCTTGGGGGCCCAGGTGTGCTCCTCTGCACCAGCTCCTCCATCCAGAGTTGGCAACTGCCCCTACAACCCCTCCCCCATCACACCCACCAAAATGCATTAAATTGAAATGTGCTGCAAGGAGCCAGCACTGCGGCATAGCAGGTAAAGCTGCCACCTACGACGCCGGCATCCATATGGGCGCCAGCCCCTGTCCCGCTGCTTCACTTCCTGTCCGGCTCCCTGCTGATGCACCTGGGACAGCAGTGGAGGATGGCCCAAGTGCTTGGGTCCCTACACCCATGAGGGAGACCTGAAAAAAGCTCCTGGCTCCTGCCGGGCCCAGCCCCAGCCATGTGGCCATTCGGGGAGCGAACCAGCAGATGGAAGACCTGTCTCTCCCTCTCTTTCTGTAACTCTGCTTTCAAATAAATAAATAAATCCAAGTAAACAAAGGAGCTACAATTACAAGGAAAAAATTCTCTCCCTGTCATGGACTCCTGGTCCCCTCCTCCATCCCAGCAACCAATGTATGAATTTTGATAATTCTTTGAAAGATTTATTTATTTGAGTTACACAGGAGAGGCAGAGAGAAAGAGAGAGGTCTTCCATCTGATGGTTCACTCCGCAACTGGCCGCAACAGCTGGAGCTGCGCCGATCCGAAGCCAAGAGCCAGGAGCTTCCTCTGGGTCTCCCGCACGGGTGCAGGGGCCCAGGGACTTAGGCATCTTCTCCTGCTCTCCCAGGCCACGGCAGAGAGCTGGAAGTGGAGCAGCCGGGTCTTCAGGCCAGGGCATTAACCCACTGCGCCACAGTGCTGGGCCTGGTAATGGTTTAAAAGTCTAGAAAATGCATTGTACAAGGTCAGTAAACAAAGGCGCAGATACCTGGAGTCATGGGAGCCAGAGCCAAGCCAGGAACGAGACCAGGGCGCGGGGGGAGCTCTGGGCCTTCAGCACGCAGGGCCCCACACCCCACTTCTCAGGACGGCTGCAGCCGACTGCCTGGGGAAGCCAGTGTTCCAGCTCCTTGGAAGAAAGCCAGGAATAAGCCTGTGGCTTAAATTCCTTAATGTTCCAGCACATTCCTTCATGTTAAGTATATACGGTTGGCTCACGCACTGAAGCTCAGAGTGCTGAGCCAAAGATTCTGCAGCTTCTTCAGAGAAACCGGAATGCTGTTGTCCCTGCCTGCGCCCCAGCTCTCTCCGGAAGTTAGGGTGAAATGTGGGGGAGCAGCCGTCATGGTGCCACCACCGGGGACGCGCATCCCCAGGTCAGGTGCGAGGCCCGGCTCCCTCCACCGCTGGGGACCCAGCTTCCTCCTCAGGCACACCCTGGGGGAGACCTGCACGGGGCTCCTGGCTCCTGGCGTGGCTTGGCCCAGGCCCGGTGTGGGCATTTGGGAAGTGAGCCAGAGAATGGAAGATTCTCCCCCCCACACACACCTTTCAAATAATCAAATGCATGCATTTTTTCATTAAGGTGGACCGTGCACAGTGTGAAGTTGACGGTTTCAGAATGCGCAGTCCAGTGGCGCCTGGTGGTTCGCAGGTCGCAGCAGTGTCACCTCCGTGGAGTGCAGCAGGCTCGCCTCACTTCCCGCCCCAGCCCGCACCCGCCCGTCTCTTCCCTCTGCGGCTGTCCCCACTCTGGGCATCTGGGCGTGTCATCATGTAGACTCGCACGCGGCCCGCGTTGCCGCACGCACACGCGCACGCACGTCGGCGACCGCCCGCGTGCCGGCATCGGCGTGGTTTTCCACCCTGCCTTTCTCCCGGGGAGACGGTGCGGTTCCCTTTCTGTGCCGAGCGTGGTTTTCCCCAGGGTCTGATCAGAAGCTGGCGACCAACGTTGGTAGAATCAACGTACTAAAGTAACATCAGGAGGGAGGAAAGGAAAGGTGGGCGACGCGGGACACCGATTTCCGGAGCAGCTCGGGTGCTCAGGGGGCCGCTCACGCACTCACGCGCGCAGGAGGGCCTCCCGTGGAGCCACGCACGCCGCACAAGAGGGAGTCGGTGGGTCTGTTGGTGTACTGCTCATCTGTTTATGTGAAGGCACAGTTACGTGTATACAACAGCCAGGGCTGGGCCAGGCTGCGGGGTCTCCACGGAGCCCCGGGCCCCGGGGCTGTGCGTGGGGTCTCCACGGAGCCCCGAGCCCCGGGGCTGTGCGTGGCGCCTCCCGCCCCCGCGCCGCCCGCGCCGTCCAGGGAGCCCGGAGACGGCGGCGGCACCTTGCAGGGCTCGTGCACAGCGCCGTGGGAAGGTCACTTTCTTTCGATGGAAAACAAAAAATTCCAAAACTTTCGAGAAATACCGACACCCAAAGTTTTCCTTCTAATTGCACCTTCGACGAACTTTGCAATGAGAGACTCCGCCCCGCGAAGGGACTCCGTCGTAGCCCGCTGGGGCCCGCGAGGGACGGCGGACCGCGGGGGAGGGAAGCGAGGCCGGCGGACCCCGCAGGAGGCGGGCGGGAGGCGGGGGCGCGCGGGGCCCTGCGGGAGGCGGGGCCGGGACCGGCGGAGAGCGTGCGGCGCTCGCGGGCGCCACCTAGCGCCGGCCGCCGCGCGCGCGCAGGGGGCCGCGCGGGACTCGGGGCCTGCGGCGGGCGGGCAGGGCGCGGGGCCGGGACGGGCGGAGCCCCCGGGCCCGCCTCCTCACGCCGCCGGGGCCCGCCTTGGACAGCGCCCAAACTGCTGCGGTTTGTTAACTTTGGCAGGCGCCGGGATCCCGAGGGAACTTTTACAGAGACCGGTATCTGGGCCCTACCCCGGGTCCATCAAGCGCGGGGCGTGCGGGACGGCTGCGCGTGCCGAGCGCCCCCGAGCCTTCGAGGGGGCTCCCTCGACTCCCCCTGCGCCGCCCCCGACCTCCGAGTCGGAGACGAAGGAGGAGGAGGAGGGGGCTTCGCGGACGGACGGCTGCCGGATCCGCGTCCCGAGCCGCTGGGTCACGGTGCACAGCTGGCCGGGATGGCCCTGGGCGCGGGGCCCGCGTCTGTCCGTCCCCCGCGCTCGCTGCCGGGACGGGCGACCCCCAGTGAGCGGGGCGGGAAGCTGCGGGGCGCCCTGAGCTCCAGCGGTCCCGCGCCCGTTCCCCGCGCCCACGGGGAGAAGGAAGCAGGGCGGAGGGCTGCGGGCACCCGGCAGGAGCAGGGGCGCCAGGGCGTGGGGGGCCTGTCCCCGGCAGGCAGGGGTGGCGGCCGTGCAGTCTCGGGTCCCGCGGCTCCAGAACCTCCTGGCACCTGCGGAACCGCCCTGCCTGTGACCCTCCATCCCCGACCCCGGGTCCGCGTCTCCCGAGAACGCGGTCAGCTCCGGGGAGGGGGCGCCGCTCAGGTGCCCGGCGCGGGTCCAGTGTGCGGGCTCTGGGTTCGGGGCTCCTCTTGCCTCCCGGAGCACGTCGGGTCTGGGGCGCGTCCTGAGCCGCCGCCCCGGCGCCTGCACCTGCGCCTCTGCGAGCGCCCTGCGCGGCTTCGCTGCGCCTCCTTCCTCAAGCGTGAAGGGAGGAGAAGGACGGGGTCGCCCTCGGTCGTGAGGACCCCGCGGTGTCCACGCACAAATGCGTGAGCGCTTTCCTCCCGCTGTCACCACGGAAGAGAATGACCACTGTTTGTCTAGGGTTTGTCTTTGAAGTATCCGCATCTAAGGGGCACAGCTGGGTAGGCGCAGCCTGCGGTGTCTGTCCCGGCTGCTCCAGTTCCCGTCCGGCTCCCTGCTAATGCGCCTGGGAAAGCAGCGGAGGATGGCACAGGTCCCTGGGCCCCTGCACCTGCGTGGAGGACCCGGAGGAAGCTCCTGGGTCCAGCCGGGTCAGCCCCAGCAATTGTGGCCACTTGGGGAGTGAACCAGCAGATGGAAGACCTCTCTGTCTTTGTTTTTCTGTTACTCCGCGTTTTGAATAAATAAATAAATCTTTAAAAATAAGCATAAGCGGCCGGCGCCGCGGCTCACTAGGCTAATCCTCCGCCTTGCGGCGCCGGCACACGGGGTTCTAGTCCTGGTCGGGGTGCCGGATTCTGTCCCGGTTGCTCCTCTTCCAGGCCAGCTCTCTGCTGTGGCCAGGGAGTGCAGTGGAGGATGGCCCAAGTGCTTGGGCCCTGCACCCCATGGGAGACCAGGATAAGTACCTGGCTTCTGCCATCGGATCAGCGCGGTGCGCCGGCCACAGCACGCCAGCCGTGGCGGCCATTGGAGGGTGAACCAACGGCAAAAGGAAGACCTTCCTCTCTGTCTCTCTCTCTCTCACTGTCCACTCTGCCTGTCAAAAAATAAATAAATAAAATAAAAAAATAAAAAAAAAGCATAAGCACCTATATCTCCAAAAAGAAGATCTATCCCACCTTTAAATTTTTCTTTTTAAGATTTATTTATTTATTTGAAAGGCAGAACAAAATCTTAAAAAGAGAGAGAGAGATCTTCCATCCACTGTTCACTCTCCAAATGGCCACAGCAGTCAGGGCTGGGTCGGGCTGAAGCCAGGAGCTGGGAGCTTCTCCAGGGTCTCCCTGTGGGCGGCAGCGGCCTGAGCACGGGGCCACCTTCAGCTGATTTCCCAGGTGCATCCCCTGCTGTGAGGTCCCGTGTCCTCCCCCAGGTTCTTACGTGGAACGGGACGGGATGTAGACGCAGGGAATGAGGTCGTTAGGGTGGGTCCTCATCCCAGCTGGTGGGTGCCCATGGGGGAGCAGACGAGGGTGCACCCAGACACCCTGAGCTCAAGGGAGGAGATGCCATCAGCAAGCCCAGGCGGCTGCAGAAGGAGCCGACCCTCAGGCACCTCGATGCTAGAACCACAGCCTCCAGACCTCGAGGAATCACGGTGTGCATGTCTGCTTCCGGCACCCAGAGAGGACCAGTGCATGCGGGCCAGGGGTGGGAGTCTGTAGCCCAGCGTGCAGGTCTCGCGCCGCCCGCTAGCTCTGTTGCCTGGCACGTCGTGCGCACACAGCTGTTCTCGGTCCCCACGGTGCCTAGGGAAGAGCCGGGCACGTCCCCAGGTTGCAGATGAGGCCTTTAGACTGCAGAGCAGGGTGGCTGGTCCAGACCAGGCGTCGGTTTCCAGAGCCCTGCTCTCGGCTTTGTCACTCATTGTCCACGTGTGAGATGCGTGGTTCAGGTGTCCAGGCTGCTGGGTCGCGACACGTGTGCCACCGCCACGGCCCGGGTACCGCGCTTCCCTCCCTCCAGAACACTGCCTCGCACACCTTCCCTGTCGGTTCCCCGGCCCTCTCCCCTACTCCCGGCAGCTGCTGAGCTGACTTCTCTCTCCGGCTCTAGAACCCTGAGTAATGCATCGTCCCGTGTGGGCGTGCTTGGCTCAGTGAGAGGCCGCGCGATCCAGACCCCTCGCTCCGTGAGTCAGGTGTAGGCTCAGCTCCTGGGGGAGGTCACACCCGGATGGGCTGCTCAGCTGCTGGTGGACATTTGGGCTTTTTCTGCTTTGGGGCTGTCACACATCAGGCTGCGGTGAACATTCACGCAGGAACCTGTGTGCGAAACACAGTGTTCTTTTCTCTTGCGTGAATACCTGGTGGAGGAACTGCCAGCTATATGGAGCGTAGATTCAACATGTTAAGAAATTTCTAGGCAGGGGTTTAGCACAGCAAAGATGACCCCCAGGACACCCACCTCCCTCATCAGGGTCCCTGGGTCCCCCTGCCAGCTCCATGGCAGACTCAGCTCCTGTTAGCACCCAGGTGGTCAGGTGATGGCCCAAGTACTTGGGTCCCTGCCACTCGTAAGGGAGACCCGGACTGAGTTCCAGGCTCCCAGCGTCAGCCTGGTCCAGTCCTGGCTTATGCAGACATTTGAGGAGCGAACCAGCAGATGGAGGGTCTTTCTGTCTCTCTGCTTTTCAAATGAATAAAAATAAATTGCCAGGCCCAGCATCATGGCATGGTGGGTAGAGCCACTGCCTGGGACGCCACATCCCATATGGGCGCTGGGTCGAGTCCTGGCTGCTCCACTTACGAAACAGCTCCCTGCTGATGGCCTGGGGAAAGCAGCCGAGGGTGGTCTAAGTGTTTGGGCCCCTGCACCCATGTGGGAGA